TGTACTGATCCATTAACAAAGGATCAAGAGTATTAAAAACGATAAGATGATATCAATCTGACGAAAAATCTAAAAACACTCACTAGTAGGATAACGTTAAAGCTTCTGAGAATTAATTCCTGGAAAAAATTAAGTCGAGCCATTCACAACATTTTGTATTAGATTGTTTCGAAAATGAATCAGAAGATCTATAGTAGAAATTTACTTTGGTCACAGAAAACCGCCTTTTATTCCAGTGAATAGCTGCAAGTATCTATGAAATTATATTTTATGTGCAGTTAGTAAAAAGTTCACAATACCAATGGATCATTTGTTGTAGGTATCATCATCAATTATATTGTTGAAATGGTTCGTTTGCATGATATAACAAATATAGTGTGGACATAAGCGCCTCCTCTTAACTTAACTCAACAAGATATCAAAGCCAGACAAACCTTTCGTGAAAATAGTCATTTCTAGTACTTTTTGATAAAAAAGACAATAGTGTTGCGTCACACGTCGCAGAGAGGGCGCAACCAACTTTTCTTTCAAATAGAAAGGAACTTTTGTGATGAATTATTTGATATAGATTTCAATTCTCTATGCATTTCATTATTTTTGAAAATCGTATCAGCCTTTGCTGAGTAGGTATTTAGCAGTTTCATATTACTTTCAAGGATTTTCGAACAAAAGATAATTAGAAAATGTGTCTTAAATTCGCTTGAGTTGTGAAGTTTATTTACAAATTCCTTATGGGATGTTTCTGAAGTAATATCTCATTCTAGCTATGAGCTCTGGAGTAGACTGCGGTTATGTAATGTAAACTATAGATTTTACCATTTTAAGAGACCATTGAATTACATGAAAGTGAAAGTACTTTCCAAAAAACTACTTCTATATGACCAATGAATATTACAACTCTTTTTTCTGTTCAGTTTGTACTCCAAACATATGTTATGGAATGGGCGTTTCATGCTATAGAAAATGATACTGGTTTGCTTATAGACTGATCGAATTAGGGGTATATTATATGAATTGAAGGGGTTATATTTTCAGGAGAGATTAATTTTTAGAAAAGAAAGTTTTTGGCTTTCTACTACTCCATCTGATACAAAAAAAAGGATGAGAGAATCTTCCAAAGAAAGGAAGGAAGGAATCAATTTGAAAATGAGTAACTCTATACATGGATGTGTAGATCATGCAAAGAAGTAACTTTCAGACACAAACTGAAAGAAAGTCCTCCTGAAACAGCTACTTTCATATAAACATTGAATTACACTCATCCTTTTTTTTGTATCAGATGGAGTAGTAGAAAGCCAAAAACTTTCTTTCCCAAAAAGGTTATATTATACTTGTTAAGCCTAATCGGTCCCAAGATCTCTTTATATCTGCAGAAAAAAGAACAATTCGAAAAGCAAGAATTCAAATTGGCCGCGTGTCTGTTGACCAATAAAATTGAACGTGACTCGAGCGGAGTTGCCAAGTTTGTTGGTTTTTAATATACAATCACAGATCTGATGATCCAATTTGACAGACGCCATTTTTGTACGCATACAACTTTTATAATTATCTAATAAAAGAACTTTTTTTTTGTAAAAGATATGTCTTGGCGGGAGCCTATTTTGCTGCATATTCCATGTCTTTAGTTTACATTCCGAAAAATATTCTTTTAGGTTATTTTTGGATTGAATTTCATCATTACTACCACCAAAAAGGTTAAAATATATTTTATACCTAGTTGTAAAAACAGATCATCCATACCAGACAAAAAGTTTTTCAGTGTTCCAAAACACGAAACTCTAAGAGATCTATGGTTTTCTTCACTTGGCCGAGCTAAAATAAAAATTAAATTAAAACTTTCCTTCCTTTGATAAAAGACAAAGTCTGAAATGAATGTGATATAAATAAAAGAGACCTACTAAATATACCACCTACTTCATTTCGGTACCAAAGACCAAAGTATTGCAAATTTTTTAAGTAAAATTCATCGATCATTTCAAAATCGACTCTTGGTAAGTTGTCGGAGTCAGCTTTAACAAAACTAGGTTCAACATTCATTTTGAAATTATTTTAACAAAAATATGAAGTTATGTGTGGAAACCATTGACATTAGGAAGAGCACATTGTCGCATACACTACAGAGGGCGCTGGCTGACAATATGGCTAAAATACCAGTAATATTGAATTTCTTATTTTTGATGTGTTGCATGAATAATCATAATTTATTTATTTCATTAGGGTTCATGAGCATTCGAAAACCATTCGAAAATACAGTTCGTTACATTCTATTTAGAAGCATATTTAGATATAACTAGTACTATATCAGTTATCAAGGCAAATATTATTGTCCATTTTTATGCTTAATTCGTGGATTCGAGCGATCTTATTATTGTATATTTATTTGTTTGCTGGCTTTATTCTTAAAAAAATTAATAAATAATTACAGAAAATTTAAATTTTTCAACATTGAGTTTCAACTTTTTCTTAGATGACAGCTCGCGTAGGAACAATTAGTTTTTTCATCGAGTTTAGTTTGTGTGTATTTCAAAAGTTATTCAGAGATGTATTCGAATATTGATATGGTGCATTCTTGTGCACAAGAAAACAGAAAGCGCATTGGTTTATAAGTGAGTTATTTCATATAATGAGTTTAGGTTCCCAAACGATAAAATGATGAGAAAAAAATGGGTGAAAGTTTCGAAAAGAAAGAACTACAATCCTTCTACTCTTCCAAGACTTTATAGAAATCATTTAAAAAGTGACTATAAATGAAAGGAGAACGAAAATATTGAATATGATGACACAGTTTTTTATTTCAACTTCAAGTATTCTCCACAGAAAGTATTATCTGGAGTTAATACTGTTGCTGAAAGTATGAAACAAAATGAATTAATATTTTTGGAAAAAAATCAAATGCTTTTCATTTTACTTCATTAAATTTTATCATATGAATAATGGTATTACTTCAGAGGCTTTTGTTGGATCAGTTCGAGTACAATCAATTATGTCTATACTTGACCTCACTCAACCTTCCTCTCAAGTTTTGGAAGATTTAACAGATTACCCAAGCGAGCCTATAACGCTTGAATTTAGTAGCTATATTAGAAAGAGATATGTATGTAGGAATCGATTTTTTTATAATAAATGGCACTTGTACAGATTGGGGATTGTAGAATAAATTGAATAGTTGAAATGATTCTTCAATCCAGTTTGCTATATTTTTTGATTTTCATAAGTGTATATTATAAAATAATGCATAAAATCATAGTTTAGGTAAATATTTTGTGGTCTTTCGACTTTTTGTACCGATTTTAGATATATAACTTATTTCCAAACATGATTTTTCATGTACATTTTATTCTATGTGGAAAATTTTTCATTAATTGAAACGTTAACGGGTTCATATACACTTCCATAATTGAATTGATAATTATAGGCTTCGTAAATTTTACGATTTGACAATGTTGATTATTTATATTGTTCCTATTGGTCAATGGAACAGGTAGCGGGAATAGGGTCGCAATGTCACCAGCCTACCACATTCGATTTTTAATAATCAATTACGGGAAAACTATGGTACTTAGAGAGCTGAAACAAAGTGCACTGTTTTTCAATTTGAAATTTCTATCAAGTGAACTATAAACCAAAAATCATTAAATAAGCCCATTACCCAAACCTACCAACCGGTTTGGATAATTGTCAACTAGCTTCTTTCGTCGTGATAAAGAGGAACCTCATCTTGTTTCCAAAAACTCATTCGGGCAAATTTGATCATTTAGAAGAAGTCACTAGATCACCTGATATGAGGCATCTAGATGTTTTTGAAAGCATACGTGACATTTAAATTGTACTGTACACAACAGTAGCTCATTTTCATAACTCGCGAATAGAAAAAGAGGTACTTGCAACGAAATTACTCCAGTAAATTTCATAATGTAGGAAAAATATATAAATAGACTCAATCATTGTTGGGAAGTGAATGATGAACATTTTGAATATTAATTGAAATTAACTAAAGTGAGTTTTGTTTTCTCGACATTATGATATTTATAGTTTTCTTGCACATTCTCAAAACAAAATCAATAATTTGAGCAATAATAATAATAATCATCTGATACCACAACTTAGTTTTTATCTTTCATTACCTTATCCAGACACTCTTTCTCAACCAATTTGGTAATGTGAAACTAGCCTTCAGAAATCAAAAGACTCATTTTGTTCTGAATTAAAAGATAAAGAAGATGTTATAACAAATCATTGACTTAGATCATCAGTCCTTCTTTGACAATATTAAAAGTTTAGACTCGAAAAGTATTGTTCAAAAAAAAAGTTTTTAAAAATGTTTTTTGAGCCTGTTATATACTTATCTCCTCATATTGTGAGAGACAAAAGACGATAGTTGCCAGTTTCTAGATTAAAATCCAAGAACATAAATTTTCTAGTAATTCACTTACTTTTCATCAATTCTTTCAAATGCCATTTTGACTCCATTAATTGATTTTATTTATAGCTCAACATTGAAATATATACCTCTTGTTCTACAAAAAAATGTCAAAGATACCATGAGGTTCATTTTTCTGTGCCACGAAAATAATTAAAGTTTCAAAGTCAGGGTAACAGGGTAACATTTGAAATTATTCTTCTCATTTCCGTTTACTATCGGCTTCAATGAAGTATACTACCGTTATGAATTCCCAATTTATTTTTCCAAAAACAACTGAATGGCGTCATGTACATTGATTTAGTTCTCACTGGGTATGTACTAGATTGAACAAGGTTGAGAAAATTGTAATTAAGTGTTGAGTACTCAATCTATTGAAAACAAATTTTCCTCACCAGAACAAAAATACTGTTTCTCGACGCGCTTTTCGCGTTAGCATAATCAGGAGATAACTAAGAAAAGTGTTTTCCATGGATTCATTTCACACCAGAGGTTCCAAATTCTACTTATTTCAGCTACGAGTTTGAATCTATGGGATATTTCGAAATCGGATAAAAATATATTAAAAATTTTACCTTACCTCTTCTCGAAGACTTTTCGATCTTGAATTGATAAAACGGTTTGTCTATAGACGTATACTGGGGAATGTCTTCCCCTTTGACTACTTCGATTTTGTCGTTTATTACAAATATTCTTCTGGCAGTCAGCAGACCGAAAGAATGTTTTTTGGGACCATGCAACGGCCTATACCGAATGTTTTTGTTCACTCTGTCGAAGATAACATCCGGGCAAGTGCATTCCATGACCTCATTTTGGAAGAGGGTTCGGTTGAGTTCTTTTTCCATTCTATTTCCATTTGCGTGAAACAGTTGTAGCATTTCTCTGTAAAATAATTGAAGGAATTTGTTAATGCACAAGCCACTTTTTAGGTTATGTATATAGTGAATTGAATATTTTTACAGGAGTTACTGATATCCGAAATCGGTGATAAGAATTATTCAGTTCAAACTCACTTCATGGGTTCAAAACTACCTCCTACGTGAAGAATTGATGACATACAGGACCACACCCTGGATCTGAAGCTAGTTCAAAGCTAGGAGTTCATGAATGGATTGGCAGGAATTCTCCAAGAATGGACAGTGCAGTTGTCAAGGCTTACTGGATTCGATGGAAGAATGTATGAATTTATATAAGAAGTCAAGTAGATAACGTTCCTCATCGAACTTGAAATGTGAATTTCTGATCATTCTTATACCTTTTCATCAGCTACAAAACTTTTGGGATGATCCCCATCAATTTCTAATGTTGAAAATTCGAGGAATTTTGTCCCAAACTTTTCAATATTCTGAATACAGCACTTATACAATATTCGAAGACACGGAATTATACCAAGATAATTAGAGCTAATCATAAATTAGTTTCGACTTATAAGGTTGTTTAACACTTGATTTGCTACATCATCTCATTTCATGACTTCACTCGTGAAATGAGCATTTTTCCCGATTTTTGGATCAAGATCTGATCAAGTTTTTTTGGAAAAAATCAAGAATTTTTAGAATTTCAACAGCTATTGGAAGTACAAAAGTTTCTCTAGTCTCAAATTGTAGTCTTTTTGAAAATGCATTTTTTTCAAAGTGAACTATCATTTTACTAGTCGAGCTCTATCATGTGATATCTATATTGAGGTAGTTATGAAACAATATGTAATCTGCCATTTCGTAGCTGGG